GTCAAATAATCCAGGACTTTTTCGGAGCTTTCATAGCGATTTTTACGATTTTCTCGGCCGTAAAAATCGCTCTCCGTCGTGCTCAACTCGGAGGCTTACCTACAACGCTCTCTGCGACGTTCGTACTCTTATTTCTCCCATAATCATTTCCTAGGACTGTGCGCCCTGGAGGATTTGTGTCTCGGAACCTTAGGCTCTGGTTCTCGCACTTTCTCTTGAGGGTTGGCCATTGCTGGCCCCAATTGTTCCCTCACTTCCCTGCTCAGTTTTTGCACCTGAGCAAGTATTTCCGACGCCGTAAGTGTGACGTAACTCTTCTGCGTTTTCTTTTTGGCCCCCCTTTTTGGGGTCCACTTCTGAACCTTTCGATTTGACCGGGGTATCAGGGGTTTTCGCTTCCTCTCCCCCTTCCATTTGCTTATTCAGCAAATCCTTCTTTGGTGCCATTTCTAGCCCAGGGAGTCTATCGCGAGTTCCGGAGGCTTATTCAACCTCTGTCTTCACGACAGAAAAGAGTTTTCTGGGCGCTCTGTAGCTCCATTTATACTCTACAATCAAGAGTGGGGGGTCCTCCCTACTCTCGTTCCTTCTCCGAGTATGCGGCGCCCCCGTCATTGGGTCGGCGGCTACTCTGGAGGCTCTTGGGGAATTTTACTTGTGCAATAAAACCCCCTATTAATCCACAGGATCATCTAGTGAGTATTTTCGAATGAAAACTCATTAGTTCTGGGCGATGAATCGCATTGGCACTGTCATTTCCCGTTATTTCGGACATCTTATGACACTTCCTGACGTATTCCATGTCTTTTCAGTAATTTTCCCTCTTTTCCTGCTCTTTGATAGAGCTTTCGTTCTTTTCTATTTGAAAACCTTCCCGTCTTTAGCGGTAGTTTTGAATGCTTTTCAGTTAAAAAGATCCTTGTCCGACGTTTTCAGTAGTATTTATACTGAGGTGGTGCCATCTAGTGACATTTTTCACCAGTCGGTAATTTTCTTATCAGTCGGCAAAGGAGATTTCTAATTTACCGACTACTGCCCAACTGTGGTGGTTTACCGACAGTGGGTACATTATCGGGGAGGCGCTAGATGGCGCCTACTACCCGATTTGCATGCAAGTGTGGATAGTTATTTTTGTTTTGGGGCTTTTGGTTCTTTCCTTCGTCGGTTGTGCACTTTCGTGGGCGCACCGACGTATCTTTATCCTGGTCGTATTTCAAACTGAGGATTTTCCTTACATTTTTGGGAAACAAAATTATTATTATTATTATTATTTATTAACTGCTTGTAGGATACATAGCCCCATCGCAGCGGGGGAGTAGAAGAGTACAAAAATTATGCATTTTGATGGTTCTTGTGCATGTGTGTGAATATATGTGTATTGATATAAATATATATATAATCAAAATCAAAAGGATAATTTGGTAGCTCAAAGTACAAATAATAAGAAAAGAAATGAAAAAGAGATTAAAGATTAAAACAGCAAGCGCGGGGGAGGAACGCAGAAAACTCTGCCAAACTTATAACTATACGCAGAAACTTATCGATTTTTGAGTCGATGGTAACGAAACATTTTGTAGATCCAATTGACCTCTGAAGGACAGACAACTAAGCAGAAAATTATAGATACCTTTTATTTCATTGAAATTCGCTTTAAAGATAATGTCCCTTAATGAGCAATTGAGGAATTGTATAGAATTTATAAAAAAGGAAGATCTAGGTTTGAAAGTAGCTTTGCATCTGAGGCAGAAATGTTCGATAGAGTCATTTTCATCAAAGTCGCAGTATTTACAGATAGAATTTGGGTTAAATCTTACTTTAGCCTTATCAATATAAAAATAACAATTGTAAATATTGGCTAGTCTAACCTGAGCAATCAGTTGTTTTACATGTAAATGATGGTCAGCTTGCAAATAAGTGTATCTCCAATCAGTCGAAAGAGAAAAGTCAGGGGTGAGTTGGCAGGAGGTGGAGAGTTTCCATCTTTCAAGATCTTCGCATTTGAGGATACATTCGTATTTTTTAAAAATATCTACAGTTTTCGCATCTAGAGAGGTGAAATCAAAACTATTCATGAGATCAAGGTGACCAGTTATTTCAAGTAGGTTTCTAATTTGGTAAACCCAGTTAAGGGATACATCACAAGAGGGGTTTTGACTCAGATGGAGGAGTCTCTGAATGCAAATCTTTGGTAAAAAAGGCGTCGTTACACTTCAAAATCTTCAATAGCCAATCCCAAGACATTTTCATGACTCTAAATTTTACTTTGGGAAGATTGGTTTCCATCTCAGAGCCCACCCAGGCGTGCTCCTGGGTAGGTTGAGAGTTCTCTTGAAGAAGTTCGCCTTCTCAAGGTCTTGATTGTTGTGAAGACCCCAGAAAGGCACCGCATATAGAAGAGTGGATGATACTAACGCGTTATAAAGAGCGACATAGGTCGGCCAAGAGTTGACACCGAGGCCATACAGGCCTTTTAGCGCTATACTATTCGCCATTTTGGCTTTCGCTATCGCATGACGAGCTGCCTCATTGCCAAGTGCATTCCTAGCCAAGGGAATTCCCAAATACATGTAAGTTTTTACCACCTCAAGTTCCTCACCTTTGTACAATTTAAATCTGGTCCGAAGTTTTTTGATTCTACCAGACTTTTTGAAGACCATGATTTATGTTTTACTAACGTTTACAGAGAGACCATTGACATCACAGTAATCAGCCAGGATTTTTAGAGCTCTTTCGAGCTTGATGAGGGAGTCAACTAAGATTGTTGTATCATCAGTATAGAGCAACATTAAAATATCATTCAAACCATCAATATTCAGTCCAGATAGGTTTCTTTCTCGAAAAAATTTCTCAAAATCCGAAATGTAAAGGATAAACAAGAGAGCACTCAGGGTTTCTCCCTGAAGTACTCCTTCCGTAACCGTGAACTTCTCGGAGACTTGGCCATTAGATTTGACCTGGATTTTGGCCTTCTCATAGAGGGCTTTGATTACTCTAATTAGCTTGGAGCTAATTTTTAAATCATTCAGCTTGGCCCAGAGCCTGTCGTGGGGCACTGAATCAAAGGCATGCCTGAAGTCGACGAAAATCACAAAAGCTTCTCTTTTCGGCAGCCGTAATTGCAATTGGATCGCCGAGATCAGAGTGAAAATTGCTTCAGTGTACCCACGACCAGCTCTAAAACCGAACTGAGATTGAGGTAGTAAATTCATTTTTTCAGACCAACTCTAGTCTTTCTTTCAAAATATATGTGAAAATTTTGGTTGCATGGTTAACTAGGGCAATCCCTCGCTAGTTCATCGGATCAGTATGATCGCCTTTTTTAAAGATCATCGACATGTGAACTTCACCCCAGGAGTCAGGGCAGCACTCAGTTCTCAAGACAGAGTTGAATAAATTGAGAAGAAATAATTTTCCAGCGAAAGGTAAAGCTTTGTAAAATTCGTTTACAACTAGATCAGGACCAGATGCTTTATTGGACTTGAGTTCTTTCAAAATTGTATCTAATTCTTCCATAGTTATCAGTTTTTCTAGTTCAAATACTTGGTTTCGTGATGGTAAGAGGCCCAGATGTTAAGGCGAGGGAGGTATACTCCCAGGTGCTTCAGCGCGGAGGTGAGGGAGTCACAGAGGCAGTTGGGGTGAAAATCTCCAAACATAAGGCCTCTGAAGACGAGAGGATTGTGATGGTTATTTATTGTCCCTTTGATTGCGATGAGTTCTTCTGTTATTGAATTAAATTCAATGATTCTAAATCTTAGAGTCATGACTCTCGTTTAGCTAGTTGTCGAGGATCAGATATGGATTACTCGACATCTTATCGAAATCTTGTTCATTTGGAATTATTTTTTATTTTCCGGTGTCTGAAATATTAATTGTGTTATGCCCGAAATTGCATAACTAAATTTCTCTGTTGATCCGGATAATATGAGGACACGAAAGTGACACATAATATTCGGAGCAAACAAGAAATGAAGAAATATTAAATAACCGTCGAATACTACGTGCATTAAAACCACGTATCCTCGACGGCTGTAGATAACTGGGGCGAAGCGTCAGCACTTTGCGCCCCAACGGTCGGCCTTCGCCCGCGTCTGAGACGTTATCCGATGCCTTTAAGGTGCGCACAAGGAACAATGACCTGATGCAATCAAATGCACGAGGGAAAAAAACTCGTGAATTTGATGCGTCGTGGCCAGTTACTCGACGTTACTTTTGACACCTTCAGTAATACTATGTTCGCCTGATACCTTCAGTATCAGAAGAAACTTTTAATTGATTATTTCTGTATTAAATAATCATCTCTGAATAAAAGTAATTATTCCGATTGCTTCGCGAGTGTTTCCCCTATCAATTGAAGCCTTTCGTTCGGGTCCATTACATTTGGTGGCAGCGGTGTTCGGCTACAAAGGTCAAAGGATTTCAATTTTTAAGTCGACGTACTGAGTGACTATTTGAACCAAGTCGACGTAGGGAACGACGTTGCATTTTTGGGTGTGACTGACAGACGGTGAACTGGTCAGGGAACACATATCAGCAAATAGCTGAGCGGCCGATGGACTTCGGATTGCAGGCTTTAAGTAGGTCAACCTAAGAATACCATTGATGTACCTGGGCTACTCGGAATAGGAAGCATTGAACGAACTACTTGGAATAGTAGATTTTGAAACAACGGCGTAGGCGAATGAGTACTGATGGTGCAGCTGATGGCGTAAGTCGAAATAATTCTCCATTGCGTAGGTCACAATCACTTGATTCAGTGGTGCCAGGAGCCGGGAAAGAATTTGCAACGGTTTTGCAAGAAAAGTTACCTTCAGAGCAAGGCAGAATTTGACAGATCGGGATTGGTCTGGGGAAAGTATACCATGAGTAAGGCAGCGACGCATGGTGGATGCTTTCGGTGATTTTGGGATAAACCTGCGGAGGCATTATTCCTTTGGATCTAACGATAGTTTATCCGAGACAGGCATGAATTCGCCTCGTGAATTGAAAGCAACCAGCGCATGGAGCAATTGGAAACAAAGTTAGAGGCTGTGTATGGGACCGAAAAATCTATAGATTCGTTACAGATGAAAATATCTACTTTGAGACAACGAGAAGGAGAATCTGTAAGCAGCTATGGTTCAAGGACTGAGAGAATTACAGCGGAACTGGTGGACGAGTTAACGAAAACTAATGAAACACTAGTTCAGGAACGAACAGTGGAAGATGCCATTAGACAACTGGCAAAGGCGAGTTTTGAGACTGGATTGAATGGACAAGTACAAGTTCTTGTAAGGGCTAGAGCCTTCAAAATACTCCATGAATCAGTTATTGGAGCTATCGATTTGGCGAAAACTCTAAATTTGCAATCAGGGAAGTCACAGATTATTGACGGAAGACGGTTGGAGCAAACATGTTACAGGTGCAACCTAGCTGGTCATTTTGCTAGAGACTGTCCCAGTCGCCAGGCTTCCACAAGGCTTCCTTGAGGGGTTGGAAAAAGAACATCAGTGATGCAGTTTGAAGCTGTTTGCAAATATTGCAAATATTCAGGTCATGAGGCCGTGGACTATCGCAAGTTGAAAAGAAGACTGGAAATATCAGAAGACCGAACGATTCTGCTGGGGAACAACAAATCAGGGACAGAGGGAAAATGAAATTCTACAGGAGGTGACAAGAATTCACAACTACCTGTAGGAGCGTTTCAAATTTGTTAAATTTTGTTATTGAAAAATTGAATTGAAAAATGGAAGAAGCTAGATTTTGTTAGATAAAAATTTGTTATTGTTGATAAAAAATCTTTCTTTTAAAATGGGGAGGAATTTAAATGTTGTTAGAATTTTGTAATGAAAACTGTTGTTTTAAAAAGGAGAAAATATTGAATTTTGCTAGTCAAACTTTGCTTATAAAAAACAATTTGAAGAGAGAAAGAACGCAGGGTTTCGTTAGTTAAAATTTTGTTATTGGTGGTTGATTATTGGATTGAAAGGAGGAGAAAAGTTTAATTTTGTTTGTTAAAATTTTGTCATTGTTGATGAAAAATTTTATTTTAAAAGGGAAGGAATGTGATGCCTCAGTAACATGGTCAAATACAGCAATTTGGTCAATTGCGTTATTGTTGTATATGTGAACACATAGCATTGTCAGCGTGACACTTGCAAGCGTAACTGGATTATGCTGGCCAAGTGATGAAATGTAAACAATTAATGTATTATTTAAGAGACGGTTGGGTCTGCACAGATCAGACCTGAATTGGACTCCGACGCGCGCAAAAGTCCGAAACTCTTTGTAATCAGTCAGATGACACAGTAATTATAATCATGTAATAAATTCTCATATTTAAATGCCGATAAACCATTAGTGGAATTTATCCCTTTAAGCCTAGAGCCTACTATAGTTATAAGTACTCCCCACGCTGGGTATAACATTTGGTGGCAGCGGTGGGATGTTTTTATGGGGGAATGTTTAATCTGGCCAGTGGACGGGCATGCACTCGTCTGCGTGATAAACACAAACGATGACGATGTTTATCTCGATTTACCGACGGTAATCCTGGAGGGTTTACCAGCGCACAAAGTCGTTATGATGATGGGAAAAGCGGAGAGATGCGAGACCAAGGATCGCATAAAATTACTGCATGAGGATTTACGTATTGGGCATCTGAACAAGGAGCAAAGCGACTCGCTTTTGGAGATTCTGGAAGAATTTAATTTTGTCGTTCAGTTACCGGGGGATTTTTCAGGAGTTACCGATCATCTGGAGCATGAGATACCGCTGAAACCGGGTACAGCGCCAATCAGCGTCCAGCCGCATCGATTACCTGAGTCACAGATCGGGGAAGTTGACCGCCAGATCAAGGAAATGCTGAATAATGGGGTGGCACGTCCAAGTAAAAGTCAGTGGAATGCACCTCTGCTTGTTGTCCCAAAGAAAGTGGATGCATCGGGCAAGGCGAAATTCCGTGTGGTGGTGGATTTCCGTCGCCTTAATGAGGTTATCGTTGGTGACTCATTCCCCTTGCCCAACATCTCTGACATTTTGGACCGATTGGGGAACGCCAAATATTTCTCAACCCTAGACTTGGCTTCAGGATTCCATCAGATACCTGTGAGAGAAGAGGATAAGTGCAAGACTGCATTTTCCATGCCCTACGGTCACTACGAATTCAATAGATTGCCTTTTCGGGTGAAAGACGGGCCTGCAACGTTCCAGAGGCTGATGAATTCTGTTTTGGCGAGGGTTCAAGGAATTCGGTATTTCGTCTACCTCGACGACATCGTGGGCCTTGCACCAAGCCTACGAGAGCATAATAAAAGGCTAAGGGAGGTCCTGCAGCGCTTGAATAATGCGAATTTGAGAATCCATCCGGATAAATGAAATTTCTTGCGAAAGGAAGTTGTTTATCTGGCCCTTATCATTACGGAAGATGGAATCAAGGCGGATCCCGGTAAAACTGAGGCGGTAGTTGGTTTCCCAATACCGCAGAATGAAAAGGAGGTAATGTCCTTTTTAGGGTTAGCGGGTTATTACCGAAAATTTATAAAGGATTTCTCGAAAATCGCTAAACCCCTCACTGAGTTGCTGAAGAAGGAGGCAACCTGGATTTGGGGGGAGAGGGAGCAAAATGCATTTGAGAATCTGAAGGAAACCCTGACTACGGTGCCTATTTTGCAGTATCCTGATTTCGAGAGGCCATTACTTTTGACTACAGATGCGTCAAATAGGGCAATAGGGGCTGTCCTGTCACAGGGGGAAATAGGCAAGGATCTGCCAATTGCCTACGCCAGCAGGACGCTCAAAAAGGCCGAACAGAACAACGGTACAATAGAGAAAGAGCTATTGGCTGCCGTTTAGGGTGTTAAACACTTCAGACCCTATCTATACGACTGAAAATTTACTGCAGTTACCGATCATAGGCCCTTGAGATGGATATGGGACATTCCATGTCAACTCAGCCACACCTGATTTTTTTTTGTCTGGCAAAAATCATTGAGTAGGTGTATTTTGAACTACTACATATAAACAGTGATCATGCAAAATTTCATTGCCCTGCCACTTTTTGTTTCTGAGATAATCATTATGAAACTTGAAATTTTCAAAAAATCATTACTTCTGAATGGAGCATCCGATTTTGATAAATAAAAGAATAAAATTTTCGTTTTTTCTTGTACTTCAAGATAAAAAATACTTTAGAGCCATCAAGAAGCTCCTAGACCGGTTTTTCGAGAATTTTTCACGTTTTCATATTTTTTTTCACTCTAGGGCCGCTCGATATTCGATCGAAATATTTTTTTTATGATAGAGGATGTCCTTATATGATATGAAAAAAATACGCCATAATGGAAGAGCGAAGCAATGCAGCGGAAATTTTTATTTTTTTTTATTTTTGGGTTTTTCTGTTTTTAGGGGAGATCCATCGGTTTTTTTTTAAAGAAATGAGGCTGTCAACTATTATCCTTCGTTCATATATGATGGCATAAGACTACAGCATCATGTAACGGAGAAAGAGTGCGCCGAAAAAAAAATTTTTCGTCGAAATTTTTACTGGAAGGGTAGATAGTTGAATTGAACATTTTCATCATCGGAAGTTTGCTAAATTATGATCAAACAAATGAGAGGAAGAAACAAACGGAATCAATTAATTGATTTATCATCATCAGTCGGTTCCAAGGCTTTAATTCTAGAAAAAAACCTCTATTTCTCGATTGATTTTTTATCACCATACGATTCTGTGTGGATGGATTACCGAGCTCCTATCTTATTCTATTCTTGCAACGAGGTAAGGAATTTTCACGTTGATTATATAAAAATTATCTTTATTCTCGGAATTGATATCTTCGGATTTCATAGAATGCCGCGGAGTCATAGATGTGCGAATACAATGCGGGCTCCTGGTGAGAAGGAACACCTCGGTTATAATTTACGTCCGATTTCCTTGACAGTACACGAGAAATTTCCATTTTTACCATTGTCTGCGAAAATCTGCGGTCAATGCCGAACGAGAGCTCCAACTTATGTCATTCCTCCATCTGTCCCCACGGTTAAACTTAATGCTACACATCTTCAGCGTTCGGAAACTCCACCCAATATATTAATACTCCAAGCCGAAACATGTCACCCAAGTCTGGAAGTGATGAACAGTTCTCTGAGATCAGGTGAATCTTTCCATCTTGATGATTCCGGCATATCAATCGACGAAGAACCAGACGATGAAGCTGAATTCGACAGTTCTTCCATGGATTATGATTCGGAAGATGACCAAAGTGACATTGATCCATCTTCATCTAAGCAGTATCGATCTGCGAGAGAAATAGAATTAGAAGAAATGTTGGATGGTTTGAAGCAGAAATTCAAAGATCTGAAAAACTACCGTGAGTGCCTGCAAATCTTGATGGTTCATCCACAGTCATGGAGTGCGCGGAAAATTGCTTCTGAATTTGGAACTACCAGATACATGGCGTCAAGAGCGATAAGGATTGTGAAAAATTAAAGGAGTGTTTGCTTCACCAATTGCGAAAGCAGGTCATTCACTACCCAGCACAACCGTCGAGAAGGTACACAATTTTTACCTAGAGCACAGTCGCGTCATGCCAGGAATGAAAGATAAAATATCCATCAAGATCAATGGAGAGAAGAAAGTAGAGCAAAAGCGAATGATACTCCAAAATCTAAAAGTCCTTTATCGGAAGTATAAACATGCGAATGAAGATGCTAAGATCAGTTTCAGTAAGTTTGCCGAGCTGATACCTAAACAATGTGTAGTGGCGGGAGCAAATGGCACTCACGTGGTGTGTTTGTACGTATCATGACAATTGGAAATTGATGCTAGAGGCAATTAATATTGCGACTCTAACTCAAGATTCCCCCTGTCCACTCAGATATTACAAAGATTGTCTAGCAAAATTGATGTGTACAAATCCAACCCCGGCCTGTCATCTGGATGAATGTAACGATTGTCCTGGAGTGAAATCATTATAATGTGAACTGAAGAAACTTCTCTCTGACTGTGTCGTGGAAATGGTCGAATTTCGCGTTGGGCAAAGTACTGACACGTGTACCTTACAGACGCAGACCCTCCCGATGGATGAATTCATTGATCTTCTAATGGAACGATTGATAGTATTGAAGCCCCATCACTTCATCGCTAAAGAACAATCGGCTTTTGTCAAACAGCGAAAAGAGAATTTGGATAATGAAGAAGTACTATTGCATTGTGATTTTTCGGAAAATTACGCTTTTGTGGCTCAAGATGCTGCTCAATCCTTCCACTACAATAATGACCAGTCTACAGTTCACCCCGTTGTTTACTACTATCGCGAAAAACATGAAATCCAACATCGGAGTTTAGTCGTTTTGTCGGACAGTACGACTCACGATACTGCCGCTGTTTATTTGATATAGAACATTTTAATACAGCATGTGAAAGACAACTGTGAAAGCGTGGAGAAAATTATCTATGTCACCGATGGAGCTGCACAACATTACAAGAATCGTTTTCAAATCACGAATCTCTTGCATCACAAGGCTGATTGTGGCATAGATGCGGAAGCCCATTTCCATGCAACCGCGCACGGTAAAGGAGCTTGTGACGGAGTAGGAGCTGTCCTTAAGAGAGAAGCGAGACGTAAGAGCTTGCAAATCGTTCATGGTGAACCGATCCTCACGCCAGATGCTTTGTTTCGATGGTCAAAAGAGAATTTTAAAGGAATTGATGTTTTTTTTTCACCAAGGCAGAACACGAGAATATCAAAACTGAGTTGAGAGAGAGATTTGATAGTGCCAAAGCTATTCCAGCCATTCAAAAACACCGTTTTATTCCGATACCGGGAGAGCAATTGTTAATTAAACGATATTCGGCTTCGGCTAACGAGGAGGTTTTCCCAAAGCAAAAACAAACAACAACAAAACGAAAAACTCGCAGAAGACAATAATCGTGATGTAAATAATTCATCAGTGAATGTTGGAACTTGTCGTCGAAGAGAGTGGAGAATTTCTCCGTATTGTAAAAATGTGAAAATATAAAATGTCGTCGTTATAGAAGAATAAAAATTGTTTTTTGTGGCGGCTTGATGCGGGTATCAATAATAATAACTCGGTGTTGACAATAACTGTATATTTAAAGGTAAGCGTTTACATGCGTACTCAAAAGTAGACTGACTTCGTCCGCCGGGGAGCGTACGAGTTCATATACCTTCGTTTATCGAAGGTGCGAGAATTGTCCTGAAATTTCGTGAGGGACAACGACAGAATGACGTTTGTCTCGAATTCCGATGTTTGGAATATTCGAGACGCTACGAAATAAATTCACGAAATTAATCTATTGTGGCTCGCGCCACAAGTACTCCCCTTCTGCGCAAAAAGAAAAGAAAGCAAAATAAAGCCAAAACAAAATCAATAATATCGATTTGTCGAGAACAGCTGATGTCGTTTAGCGAATCTGACGCGCTTTTGAATTGATGACGTCGATGAGCCGGTGTCAGATGGGCGGTAAGATGACGAACGTCGAGATGTTCCCGGATGCGGTGACTCCGGTGAAGTTGGTGCAGTCAGTGTCATATTGCTGTCGTGGGAATCGTCATTAACTTCGTCGTCATTGTTGTGCTCTTCGTCTGGGAGCGACAAAACGGGTTTGATACGGTCGATGGAGACTACGGTATTTTCGCCTCTAATTTGAATGATGAAATGTTTCTCGTGCCTCGATATTACTTGGTGTGGCCCCTCGTATGGGGACGTGAAGGCGTGATGAGGAGCGTCGCGACGAACGAGGACGTGTGAGCAGTTTGCGAGCTCCTTAAAGACGAAAATCTTCCTCTGGCCATGACGGGCGACGGGTTGAGGAGCGAGATCGGCGAAGTGATTCTTCAGATGATCGGCGATATTGGTAGGCGGTAGCCCGCGTGGTGGGGAGAGAGCAAGAAATTCCCCCGGCAGTTGGAGCGGTTCACCGAAGACGAGGTCGGCAGGAGTTGCGCCGAGGTCTTCTTTTCAGGCGGCGCGGATTCCGAGAAGGACGATAGGCAACATGTTCACCCACGAATCGCTTTCATGACAGCGAATGGCGTCCTTCAGATGACGATGCAGACGTTCCACCATTCCATTTGACTGAGGACGGAACGTGGTGGTGTGAATATGTCTGCTACTGAGAAGCCGAGCGAGAGCGTTGAACAGCTGGCTCTCAAACTTTGTCCCCTGGTCGGTTGTCATTCGAAGCAGCACTCCGTAGCGGCAGATCCATCCAGAAAAGAGCGTTCGGGCGACATACTCGGCTCCAGTGTTCTCAATGGGGAACGCCTCTGGGAACCTGGTGAAACGGTCTATGATCGTCAGGCAGTTGCGATACCCTCTGGACGGAACGTACGGTCCGATGATGTCCACGTGTATGTGCTTGAAGCGCTGCGTGCGTCCTGTAAAATCTTGAATAGAAGATGAGACATGACGAGATACCTTATTTCGTTGGCAAGCGATGCACGCGCGGGCCCATAGACGGCAGGCTCGGTTGATGTCGGGCCAGACGTAGCGCTGCGTTACCAGCTTCGTTGAGGCACGTGCCCCAGGATGGCTAACGCTATGGAGAGCGTCGAAAATTCTTCTCCTCAACGGCACGGGAACGAAAGGGTGAATCAGATCGCCAGACACGTCACAATAGATAGGCGTGGCGCAGTCTGAAATATTGACAGGTCGTAGGGCGAGAGCGTCGTGATGTTGACCCTGGAGACGTTGCTGGAGCTCCTCGTCAGCGGCTTGAGCTTCGGCAAGCTCATTCGTAGAGACGGCAGTAGAGATTGCCTCGATACGGGAAAGCGCATCGGCGACAACGTTGTCCTTGCCGGCCACGTACTGGATGTCGGTCGAAAACTAGCCGATAAAATCCAGGCGGTGGAACTGCCACGGCGTGGCTCTGTCTGGATCTTGGCGAAGGCGTGAAGCAACGGCTTATGATCTGTGAAGATCGTGACGTGCCTCGCCTCGAAAATGTAGCGGAACTTTCGCACGGCAGCGTAGATGGCGTGGAGCTCTCGATCAAAAGGGCAGTGTTTCCTCAGCGCAGGTTGTATTTTCTAGCTGAAACATGCCAGTGGTTCCCAGTGCTGTCCTCGTCGTTGCTGCAGGACTGCGCCGATGGCGTATTCGGAAGCATCGGTGAAGATGGCCCACGGGAGTGTCGTGTCCGGGTAGATCACTAACGTTGCTTTTCGCAGCTCCTCCTTGCAGGCGGTGAAAGCGGTATCGCCCTCAGGTGTCCAGGCGACGGGGTGAGAGCCTTTGACATTAGCACCCTGAGGGTATTCATGGAGAGGAGCCTGAAATCTTGCAGCATCTTTAAGAAATTTGCGGTAAAAATTGATCATACCCAGGAACTTACGCAATTTACGAATGGATGTTGGCCGAGGAAAATTGACGATCGCCTCTACCTTCGACGGGAGCGGTAAGATACCCTGCGCCGAGATATAATGGCCGAGGAAGTCTACCTCCGGTTGGCCGAAACGACACTTGGCGTTGTTAATTACATCACCGTATCTCGAGAGCCGTTCAAAGAGCGTGTGGAGGTGTCTGCGATGTTCCTCGATGTCCTTGGAAGCGATGAGGATATCATCGATATACGGAAAGGCGAAATCGTCCAAGCCTCGTGTAGCCTCGTCGATAAACCGTTGAAATGTTTGTGCGGCATTTCGAAGCCCGTCCGTCATGAACGGGAATTCGAAAAGGCCAAATGGTGCGATGATAGCTGTTTTGTTTACGTCGTCGATGGCCACAGGTATTTGATTAAAGGCGAGAGGATCATCGAAAAGATTGTTTTCCCAGCGAGATTAGCAGTGAAGTCCTCCAGAACGTGAACGGGATATCGATCCGGAATTGTTCGTGCGTTCAATTGTCGATAATCTCCACAAGGTTGCGATTCGCCTGACATTTTCGGTACCAAGTGGAGCGGAGATGACCAGGGACTCTTCGAACGTTGAGTGATTCCCAGTTGCATCATTTTGTCGAACTCTGCCTTGGCGATTTTCAATTTGTCGCGGGCGAGGCGTCGTGATTTGCTGGATACTGGAGGTCCGGGTATAGTGGCGATATGGTGCAGGATAAAATGCCGAAATGCGCCAAAAAATCGGCACCGATAATTGGTTTGATTATGTCCGCCACTACGAAGCGCCATGTGAAATCCCTCCGGAGGCCGAGGTTGAGCGATAGAATTATGCAGCCGTACGTGTTGATTGTCGAGCCGTTGGCTGCAATAGGCGTATAGTTAACTCGTTTCAGTGCCCCAGGAGCGAGAGATTTCGGAAATGTACCAAGATCGGTGCCAGTATCCACCAAGTATTGGATTTTGGTGGCGCGATCGGTAACGAAGAGGCGGCTGGATTTGAAAGACGGAACGTTAACCGCCGCTAACGATCCGCCGAGGCATTTCCCTGCCACGAGCAAGGTGCTTTGCAATGTCTAGCCCTGTCGTGGTATCTTCAATGATACCAGCACTGGTTGTTGTCGGGTGCTGGCGAGGTTCCTCGAGAACGGGATCGAGAGCGGGAGCGAGAACGTACGACGCTTTGCCCTTTTAGGGCCGATGCCAGCTCGCAGATTATTGCTTCGAGACGACAAAAGCATGTCTCGAGGGCTGAGGATGTTGGCTCCTGGACGTCATTGATGTGGGCTACCGGCAATGCGATCTCGTGCAGTTTGTCGGCGAGTATTGCAAGCCTGTCGAGAGCCATGTCCGCTTGTGACGCCAGCAGGGACTGCGTCGTCATCGGCAGTCGTCTGAGCCACTTGGTGCGTAAAATGTTGTCAGGAACCGTGTCGTCGAGACTCCTGAGATGACGCAGGAATTGCGAGGGCTTCCTGTCATCCAATACATCTCGGTCGAGCAGCTGCTGGAGTCGTACGTCCCGGGAGAGCGTGAGGCATTCGACGAGCGCCTCCTTGAGACGTGTATACGGTGTCTCGGTAGGCACATTTAGGAGGATATCCTGCACCTCAGCAGCGGCCTTGGGATCGAGATGAGGCGAGGCATAGTAATACCTCGGTACTTCATCTTTAATCCCGGATAGATGAAACTGTCCCTAGAGCTGGGCGAACAATAACGCTAGACGTTCGGCATTGAATGCGGGATATCGTATCGAAACGTGTTGGAGCGAAGCTCCATTGTCAGCTTCGCGCACCTCGATACTATCGGGCATTTTGTTCCGCGATGAACAGCACTAGAGAAAGTGAAAAATATTCAGTGCAGCACAGCGTCCTTGGGTGCTCAGCAATGCACCGAAATTCACGAAAAGAACTCGAATGAAGCGCGTGAACGATACAACACACGAGCGTATGTGGCACACAAACTACTCACAAAGTGTACGATCGAAATGCACTCGAATTTCGCGGAACAGTCGCAGCGTTAACGTGATATAATTAATAATCAAAGAAAACGCAAGAAAACTATTCACTTCAATCACGTTGGGGTCACCAGTTGTGACGGCTTGGTGCGGGTATCAATAATAATAACTCGGTGTTGACAAGAACTGTATATTTAAAGGCAAGTGTTTACATGCGTACTCAAAAGTAGACTGAATTCGTCCGCCGGGGAGCGTACGAGTTTATATACCTTCGTTTATTGAAGGTTCGAGAATTGTCCCGAAATTTCGTGAGGGACAAGGACAGAATGACATTTGTCTCGAATTCCGACGTTTGGAATATTCGAGACGCTACGAAATAAATTCAAGAAATTAATCTATTATGGCTCGCGTTACATTTTTTCCCATACTTTTTCGTTAGTGGAAAGCATAGTGTGTCGTTGAGAAAAGATTTATAGTCGTATCAATAGTCTATTCTATCCAGCAGAACAGAAAATGTCCATTGAAAAACCCTTTTTACAGTAACAATAATGCAACTCTCCTAAACGATAGACAAACGTAAAATTTTCGAAGAAAAATTGTTTTCGGAGCATTCATCCTCTCTTACATGATGGCGTACTCTTTTGCCNACATCGCCGTATTCCGCATCGAGAAAAGATGTAATTTATCAGAAAAGTAAAATTGTTTCTTGAATGTATATCGATTTCGAAAAAAGCTAGTGAACTGCTGATTAAATGTCTTCCAGTATTCCATGATTTGTGCGTTATATCAAGATTCATCATTTCTAACAAAAAAAACTTGAAATCGCATCGTTATGCACGGTGAAATGGTCTCGTTTACAAAAAAACGCTAATTTTCGACTTTTTTCCAAATGTTTTTTGGAAAAAACTGGAGAAACGCTGGGACGATCATCTCCATAATCTAAGCAGGTTCAAGTCACATGAAAATACAGCGATTAAAAAAAAAAGTCAAATCGCATCGTTTATTCAGGAGGAATCGTGGCACAAAATTTTTGTTACAGACGTACGCACACACATACACATCCGCACATGCAGACAGGTACCTGAAAAGGGTCAGAAGTGGTTCCAAAGGTCATGAAACGTGGAGAAATGCTTAAATTTCCACATTCGATTTTCGGGGTCATTACAATAACTTCCTCCCTTCGGGTCGGGAAGTTAAAAAACGACGGATCTCCCCTAAAAAGTGAAAAACCCAAAAATTTCGAGAAAAAAAAATGTTTTTCTGGTGCATTGCTTCGCTCTTCCATTATGGTGTATTTTTTTCATATCATATGAGGACATCCTCTATCATAAAAAAAATATTTCGATCGAATATCGAGCGGCCCTAGAGTGAAAAAAAAATGAAAACCCGAAAAATTATCGAAAAACCGGTCTAGTAACTTTTTGACGGCTCTAAAGTATTTTTTTATTTTGAAGTACGAGAAAAAACAAAAATTTTCTTTTTTTATTTATCAAAATCGGATACATCGTTCTGAAGTAATGATTTTTTGAAAATTTCAAGTTTCGTAATGATTATCTCAGAAACAAAAAGTGGCAGGGCAATGAAATTTTGCATGATCACTGGCTATATGTAGTAGTCCAAAATGCACCTACTCAATGATTTTTCCCAGACAAAAAAAAATAACACGGCGATGGCTGGACATCCCGCGGAGAAACGGATGTATGCCAAAGTGAAGCAGAGATATTGGTGGAAGGGGATGAAAGCTGACGTAAGGAAATATGTGGGAAGCTGTGAGGCGTGCCAGTCAAATAAACTGGGGAATGCAATAAAGGTGCCGATGGTAATTGGGGAAAGTCCTGAAACGGCGTTTGAGCTATGTGCGATGGATATTATTGGTGCATTGCCTGTCTCAGAGGCAGGAAATAAATACATCCTGACGTTTCTGGATGCTCTCACGAAGTTCAGCAAGGCAATCCCTATTCCGGACCAGGAAGCCAATACAATTGGGTGCGCTTTTGCGCAGCAGATGATCTGCGAATATGGTACGCCACGTAAATTGCTCACAAATAAAGGGCCAAATGTCATTGGAGAAATCTTCAAGAATATCTGTAAATTGTTGAGAATCAAGAAGATACAGATAATAGCATATCATTCACAAACTAATGGCGTCGTTGAAAGATCACATCGCACCCAAGCGGAATATCTGAGAGGTTTTATTTGGGAGGACCAGATGGGCTGGGATACGTGGCTGCCGTAAGCCATGTTCCCATACAATACCACGCCCCATACGGCTACAAAAATAAGTCTTTAGAGCTCATTTTTTGTAGGCGCGCTGATTTACCTACAGCCGTCAAGCAGCCACCTCATCCTACGTACTGCTACGATAACTTTGCCCAAGAATTGCGGGAGAGGTTACGAGTGGCCCACCGGGAGGCGAGAGAAACTCTTGACAAGGAAAAGGAGAAGTCCAAAAATCCAGTACGACTGAGATACGGAGCCATTGGAATTCCAAGTGGGCGACAAAGTACTCCTGAAGAACGATGCTTTGCGACGTGGAAGGTCGAGGAAATTGACACAGCCCTGGGTCGGCCCATACGAAATTGTGGAGAAGAATTCTGGAGTCAATTACACAATCAGGTATGGCAACAAGCAAAAAACTCAGAGGGTTCATATAAATCGGCTTCGACCATTTGTGGAAGCATGACTATATGGACCCCAGCCTCTTGATAAGAAACATGAAGGGGACCTGGAGATCTCTTCTCCATGTGAAAAGGGATATTTCAAGGGAAAAGGACAATTGACCCTACAGCAAGTTTATTCAATTGATCTAGTTATACGAAGGTTCAAACGGAGTTATACAGAAGGAATTGTCTGGACGACGCTCATGCCAGTCCCACCCCAGGAAGTAATATGTGGGATAATCCCAGTAGTAGGACGTGCAATCAAGGCACCGAGTGCGTAGAATAGAATAGAATAGAATAGAATGTGCGCGGCTGGTCACTTAAAGCGCCCAGAGTCACCTAAATCATCACCGAGTGCGTATATCCTCGAACCATTGAGGTACGTGGCATGGCTGAGGGGCTGGAGACTCTCCGAACAGGCGACGGAGGTTGAAGATATCCGCCACACCAACCTCAATATCGGAGCGGACGGAGAGATCCCAAAGGGTGTTGAGGTCCTTCTTACTGGCTTTTCTCCAGCCTGCAACCTGCTTCCGGAACCCGAGATTGAGGGAACCGGGTTGGTAAGGTTACTTGGTGCACTGGAAGAAATTAAAATTAGACAGAAATTAGGGAAAATAGAAACCAACGAGGCCGAAGAGAGTCAGGCGAATATGAACAGCGAAGAGGTATGCGGACTCACCAGAAATTCGAAGATGCTTGCGTCAGGCGAGTGCTTCAAATACGGGTGTTGGCGCCTCGTAATGGAGCGTTTGGCCCGAATGACGGGGGCTCCAAGCCGATCCCACACACTTCTTCCCCTTGTTGGGCCCAGGGGGCAGTCCAAGCAGGGGTGCTCGGAGTTGCAGTCACCGCAGCGGGGTGCTGAGCTCCTCATGGAAACGTCAAATTGTGCCCTCATCGAGGTGGAAAATCCCCATCCCCAACGACGTTAGGAAAACCTCGATGCGATGGTTTCCACGGGGCGGGGTGTCACACGTCAAGAGCTCAGGCAGATACGGTAGGCTGAGGAACTTCCACAGAGGGCGAAGGGACAGTTTCGGAAGAGGTGCCTAAAAAATTCACACTGGAAACACTGCTTCTTCGCGTACATATTGGCGTTTTGGTTTCGGTTAACATTTTCGCTAGCCGCTGCGGGGAGGACTGTGACAAAGTTTGGACGACAAGAGTTTATATACGAGGGTGCAACAGTGTCAAGCATAGCCGCCGTTAAGTCCACTTTGGAGGCAATTTCGTGCTGGGACGTCAAATCGAACGTGGCAGCCGAGTTCAAAAACCTTTGATTTTGCAAATTTTCATGGGTTATTGAACTTCTGTGTATTGCTCATGCTGGGAAGCATGGTCGTCAAAGTGCAGGGGGAGGGACATGTGATTGAAAAGTTCATACACACCCCTGGTATGCATTTTGAACCTATCGGGAGATTGTACTTGAGTAATCAAGTAGGGACCATAGCTGCGACTACGGATGTAGGACCCTGGATGCTGAGAGCAGATCAGGTCCATGAGTACCTTAAGCTAAGGAGTTATACGACAAAGGGGTTTATGACAGTGGGAAGAATTTCCAACTAATACTCGAACAATGGACTGAGGATTTTGCGGAAACCAAGGATGTCATCACCGGAATGCTGGGGATCAATGACTCCTCAAAGAAACGCCGAGGACTTATGGATGGCTTAGGAACCGTTGTTAAATTGCTATTCGGGACAACGGATGCTAAGGATGCGCTAATTATCGACCACAGATTCTCACGGCCAGAGAGCGGAGTTGAAGGGACGTTCGAGAAATCCCGGAAGTAGGTGGAGATTATTAATTCGACCCTCTCCCAGCTGGGACATACGGAGGAGGTGATTAAGAAGAACGAGGAGATCCTCATGAAGTCCCTGCAAGAAAAGGAATATGAGGTGATACTGGAGGCAATCTGCACTGGAGTAATGAGGGATACTACAAAAATTCGGACGTTACTGACCGATAACAGAGGGTTGATATTGGACACAGGAGTGTTGGACTAGTGGCTCTCCTTAAAACAGCAAAATTACCAAAGGGTTTAAGTTTCCTCTTTAAACCCGAGGTAGGCGGAATGCATCTACTGCAGGAGGTAGCCACCGTCAACGTTCATTCATTCGGTAGGAAGATCATTACCCTGGTAGAAATACCGCTGGTGAATTTCCGAGCGTTCGACGTTTTGCTGACGCATGG